TTAAATAAACCATTGTCCAATTTGCTTCAGGGGTTCCATGTAGACCCTCACTGATAAGGACTGAGACAGACACAGGGATGCATCTCTGAATTTCTGTCCTATAGTAAAGTGTGTGTGGACTTTTTATAGTCTGTTTCATTAATCTATGGGTTTATTGCACCCAAGTATTTTGTTACCATAAATAAAGAATAAGTTAAAAGTGTTTTCATCCATTCTGTGTATTTCCTTTTGTAAAGACAGCTGAATGTGTCTATTGTAAACACCTGGTAATATTTTCTAACTGAGAAAACAGGTAATTGGGGATAGAGAGTCAGACTGGATCCTACCTAACCTTCAGAATTTTGGGAGGATCAAATTTTCCATTTACAATTCAAATGAATGAATGACTTTCAACCTCTACTATGAATGCATGTGCTTGTCCTTCAAATACCCTTGAAGAACTTAGGATAAACGTTTAAGATAAATATATGGTATGTTAAGGGTATACCTTTTGCTTCAATGAGTTGTAACTTATAATTGCTATTAGGGGCACTTTTAATTTGTTTTTATTGAATTTTTAATCAAATACTAGATTTACAATTTGTACAGTTCAATAAATACCAAAAAAAGTTTTCCTTAACATGAAAGACATGAAAAGTAAACTAAAAGGTACATTTTTTTATATATTACTTCTCTCTCATGTAGAGCCTCAGCACATACCTGCTGGACATTAATACTGGGTAAGGAGAATCGGAAACCATGACGATAATATGTGATTATGTGTAAGCCCTCAGGTATCTGACACAGGTAAATAGGAATGATTCCTCTTACTTAGCTGTCAGCTAAAGTCAATCATTGATCACATGACTTGTCCTCTAAGCTCCTTACACATTTGGAAGCCATATATTATTGGTGAGAAAGTGATATGTGTATCATATTTTGTGCTCTGAGTAAATCATTTTGACAAACACTGTAGATTTATGGATACTTGGTATAGTTATGATAGTGTAATTGATGCGGATATATATATTTCCAATTAGTGAGTTTGGAAAGGTAATTACTTGCATGTGATGTATGATGTCAAACTTTTCTAGTAATTAATGTGTCAAAAATTTAAGGAATTAAAAATAAAGTGATGTCACTGTAACATCCTTTTTATCACTTAATGATATATATATATATATATATATATTATTGTATTAATCATATTTTGCACATTTATTTCTTTCATATTTATTATTTATTCATTTTTTATAAACAATTAAGTGTCAGTGAATCTATTAAGATTTCAAAAATCTTTGAGCCTGATGAGTATTACACAAGAACCATAACAGCTAACTTAAAAGATATTTTTGTATAAAGTATGTTATTTTTTGAATACATGTATATTCTCCTGAGTAAGCACCTGGACAGCTGGAGAAAATTGATATGAATTGCAAAACCTTTCAAAATTTTCACATTTGAAGTAAAATAAACAGTTTTCATGTAAATCACTTATTTTGGAGACAATTTAGATACACTGAGTAGGGAAATATAAGACTTTGGTAAAATGGCTTTTGTATTCTTATCACACAGACACACTAATTGTATGGTAGCTGTTGTTTATCATGTGATTTGTAGGTCTTTAACAAACAAGCTTTCAACTGGTACAGCAATGGAGTTCTGTTTTAATTACAGCAGGACATTGTGGAACATATCTTGTATTTTAACTTCTGATGCTGTAGACATATGATTATAGTTTTGTCCTCCCAAATTCATTTGCATACTTCTAACAGAAATGATATGTAAGACTGAATCATAACTATCGGTTTTTTACTTGGAGTGGTCAGCATGTAAGTTTTCAATTCATACTAATGATAGATGAGAAGAATGTTAAACATATAAATATGCTCCACTCTTTAAAGGTCACAGGAAAATTCTTGGAGTGTACAATGGTAAATGCAATTGAATTAAAGAGTGTGAGTCAAATACAGTCAGAAGGTCAAAGAATAAGGTCAAAAGGTTAACAAGGTCAGTCAGCATTGAATTGTATTTCTTCCACGACACTAGAATGCTTGTTGATGATATGTGAATAGTTTTGGTGTATCTACCATCATGTTAAAACTATAAGCATATTCATAAATTGAGATTTCTATTCAAGGGAGATAACTTAATTATTTTAACTTTGAATGCAGTTTTCCTTCCACAAACCAAATTAATTCTCTGTATTATTACCAATTATCATTATTCAGTACAGAATAATTTACTGTGATAGTTTTCTCCCTTTAACAGAATTTCAATATTGGCTAGCTGTGCATCGATGATGATGTGCAAATGAATATAAATGCTTTACATGATGTACGAAATACACAAAGGTCTGAAATGTTAGAAACAGAGTTATTTATAACCACAACTCTAGTCAAACTAATTTTTTTTTCATTTAAATTTTTTAAAATTCTATGAAAGTAAAAACATCACAATCTTATGCAAATGTATACCTTTGAAAATCAAACTGATAAAACTACAAAGTTCTTAATGAAATTAATTAGAGTAATTGTACATTAAGCATTAAACTTATCTTCATCCTCTGGGGATGAAAAGTTTGATAACAAAAGTGTAAGAGTTTGACAAGAGATGTATAATTTGGAGCAGGACAGTACAAAGCATCAGAAATGCACAACTACTTGGACACGACCTTTGATCCACAAATGGATTGTCAATGTAAGGATTCGAGGACATGGTTAGCTGGGTGTAGGACCAAAGCACGAAGCCTTATTCCCACCGCCATGCACACAGAAACTAAACTACAAGCTCAACAGTTAAATGCATAGAAATCAAAAACATTCATATCTTTTTCTTTTAGTCTATGATTCAAAGTAAAAATGAAGAACGAAATCGATTTGTCTCCCACAATATTCCCACCCACCCACAAATATCAAATATTTTTTTTTGTTTTATATCATTAATTTTTCCATGCATTAGAAAGATATGAGCTTGCAGTATGTGTAAAAAAATATATATATAACACACATGCGACAGTTTTCAGAAAAGGATTGTTTATTCTGGCAAAAATAATATAAATGACATTTTGACATATTATGGAAAGACTTCATACAATTTTGCTTAGAGAGATTCATTTCTAGCTAGATATAAGGTTAATGATCAGTATGAGGTGAAATGAAAATTTCTTATGATTAATAGTTATAGATGTGTAAAGGAAAAAGAAAGATATATATATATATAATCAGTTTGAAATGAAAATTTGAAATATATTACAAAAAGGTTATAATATTTAAATGTTTAATTTATACAAGTAATAAATCTTTGATCATGTTTCTATATACTTTACCTACAAAATGATAGAGTATTATTCTTATGAACCTCGTGAAGTTGTTTCTTTAGAAGGCAGACTGAACTTATTCAATTCTGATAATTTTTTTGATGTGATGAAATTAATTATCATTATCAAAAATGAAGTAATAGAGAAATTATGCTGATTTTATTGCTAAAAATATATCTTCAATAAAAAAATATATATTTTACTTCTGATCAATTCTTAAAAATTGTAGAGAAAAAATATATTTACAAAACTTTCTAAGAACGAAATTGTTCAGCCTACAACTGAAATTAATTGCCGGCATCAAACAATAATAAATGGAATGTGTGTTCTAAGGAATCAATTTAAAAACATCTGATACTGATTCCTGCATAAAGGTATATCATTTAAGGTTATAATGAAAAATATACATAAAATAAAGTTTTTAGTAACTATACAAGAACTACAAATATGCTACTGTCCATTTAAAAAACTTAATCCCTATAAGCTAAATTTATATCAATTGATGATGAAAAAACAATAAATGGCTAATTTGATTTTAAGAAGAATTGAAATTTTAAAGTTAAATCTATTTGAAAATCTACAGATATACATTATCATCCTAGACTATGATCCAGAGGAAAATTCACAACCATGCGACACATATATGCAAAAACGTACAAAACAAATTTCAACATAAATGAAATTGGGTCATGCCAATATTTTTAACAATTAACACTAACTGGGTGCATTTTTAGTTAACGTTACATAATTCCAATGGCAAATTTTGAATTGACAAGAATTCACAAAACTGATAATTGATTCCACAATGAATACATGCAAATATCAAATAAAAACTTATTATTAAAAATATAATAAATCAATCCGTCTCATTTTGTTTTCTTATATCATGCAAAATGAATGGTCACTACAACACTATATCTAATGAATATTCATTAAGTTCTGAATATTAAAACCTAATAATCTGCATGCTTGTACATGTATAAGGTTTGTTCTCACTAAGACAACCAGACCTAGCACTTAAGGCAACAATATATTCCAGATTAGATTAATATTGAAAATGTGTAATTGGAATGTAGTATCGAATTGCCAAAAAATTCACTTAAAGTAGGTAAACAATCTATAAATATTTTTAAAAACAAACATATTTGATTTAACAACTAAGTAGAAGTGATATGTACGTGGAAAACATTAATCTATATGAAAATAAAACAAAAAATCTTCTGCACTTTGATAAATTATAGCCATTTACAGTTCACGTCAAGGGAGATAACTGACTCCATACAACAAAGTACTCTCAGAAACCCCTTTTCTAACACACACCAAAAGCAAATTTTGTCCATTATATATATATAAAAACAACTCTTTTCAAATGCTTCTGATAAAACTCAAACTATGCCTTTTCGCATATTTTTCACTCTCACTGGCTAAAAAGTAGTCATTTCCTCCTGTAAACTCTGGCAGTAATATACAACTTCGTTATATACATAATCCTGTGTAAATAATAAGATGAAGGTGTTCTGAAGGCATCGGTTCTTAAAATGGAATGTTTGACGAGTACGGTGAGAAAAACAACCCTTCCACCCCTTTGAGTAGATTTTGAACTTTACCCAAGTACATTGAGCACTGCTATATCATGACCAAACTGTAGGGATGCTAGGATCAAAACAACATTCCAACACAGGTGTTCATCATACAAATATACCTTGTACAGTCAGTTGGGCACTGCAGCTGGTGTCTCCGGCAATATTCTCTGCCTTGCATGTATATACAACATCTCCATCTTCTTCAGTGATAGAGGTTATCTCCAAGGTTGCAACACCGTCATGGAAACTGGTGTGATATTTGACACTTTCTTCGATAACTGTTTGATCAGCTAACCAGGTGACTTTTGGAACAGGTTTTCCTGTAACAGTACACTCAAGCAGAGCCACATGGTCAATGTCAACTGACACATTTGATAAGGGCTTGGTGAATTTTGGTGCTTCCAGATTAACAAGGACTTCAGCATTGCAGGTGGCGGCACCACGGTCATTAACTGCCTTTACAGAGTAGTCTCCCTCATCCTCTGGCTCGCTGGCTGCAATCTGAAGAGTTGCTGTCTCTTCGGTAAAATCAATTCTGTAAACACAAAAATTTTAACCAATCAATATATATTTTCTTCAATACTGTATGTTCAATTTCAAATTCTGTTTAATGGATAAATGAAATATATAAATTGTTCTATAGATTTTCCAAAAATTGAGGATACATACGTATATCGTTCATCGGTGATTTCCTCTCCATCCTTTAACCAAGTGACTTTTGGTTTTGGATGACCTTTGACCTGGCATTCCAATTTGATGGGAGAGCCAAGTTCGATGGTCTGATCTTCCAGTCTGACTACAAATGTTGGTGCTTCTCCTGAAATCAAACAAATATAAAAATTCTATAATGGAGATTCAATTCTCAGCTCTCAAACCAAGCATATTATATCTACAAGAACTAGGAATATCAGTACAAGACTATCAAGGTCATACTGGTTTGGTATGTCTTCATTACGATTTCACAACAACTTCACTTTTGATTCAATGAAAGGATTGAAGATATTTAAAACAATAAACAACAAGAGGCCCAAAGGCCTTAACGGTCATCTGACTACAAAAACTTTCAGCAGGCAGAAGGGTTATTTTTCCTACTTTGAATGAAATCTTACTAAGAAGCTGTTTTCCATGATGCAGATGTTAGTTTTGGTGAGGAGTAGGTAACTGTAACAAGTGTTACCTATTATTTGACACTAAAGCTGGAGATCAATCACACTGGTGGAACTTGAAAAGAAGTTTGAAATAGGTGTTGCACAGGAAAACCTTGATTGCGCAATCATGTTATGAAATGGCCTCCCCGGCTGTTGTGTCAAAGTTTTGACAAGGTAGAAAAATAACAACACTTTGTTGACTACCTTTCCTTAACATTGCCATCAATTTATAGCTCAATGGTGGAATTGGTGAAGAAATCTAGAATATGTTTTTCATGAGGAAGCACAATGGCTAGAGGTCATCATAACCCTTTAACAAACATACATCTAAACCCAGATAATATGTATACTTTTTAACCAATCAACATCCTAGATCTTAGGTGACCCTACCTGAAGGATTGACAAAGAGCTCTCCTGTACTGGAGGCAGTTCCAGCTTGGTTGGTTGCCTTGACAACATATTCAGCATCATCATTGGTTACAACATCCTTGACGATAAGTGAGGCAAAGTTTCCACGCACTTCCATCTGGAAGTGGTCATCTGGGGTAATTTCAACGCCATCCTTGAACCTAACAGATTAAAGGTCACATGTCATTAAAAGTTCAGAGGTCATGGGAAATAATGTAAATCCATCTAAAAAGTTGAAAAAAAATCTTGTTAAATGCATTATGAAGTGTGAGAATTAAAAAAACTTAAAAAGGAATAAATGGAAAATTTAATATTATGTAGACATGAACTATAACCTTACCATGAGATTTCTGGAAAGGGGCTGCCAAGAACCTCCACAATGAAGGTGACAGTGTCACCCTCTGTAACCTCCTGGTCTGATAATTCTCTCATAAACCTTGGAATTGTGACTTCTACTTCAACAGACTCCACAGTCTTGACCTAATCAAAGTTCAATGTCATTTAGTTAAAAGGCTCAAACCTATATCCATGCCATTAATATATCGCATTCCAAAATTGTTGCCACAAAATGTGAACATTTCCCACAATGATTTACAACATACAACAATGCAGAAAACACAAAAGAGCTCACACTCATTCACTGAACACCAAAGGTGGGAAGTTTCACCTTTATCTGGTCATATCAACACAACCCTCCATTAAGGATGGCGACAATCCAACTCAAGGAAAGATAACTCTTGGAGTTTAGTATATAAAGGAAAAAAAACTATTCTAATGACTCTAAATGTCTAGAATAGAAAAAAAAATATATACAATAAATTTGCCTACTGACAGCGAAACTGTAAGAAACAATAATATATGTAGGACAAAAAGATTGAAATCAAATAAAGTTTACCATGTTTTTTTTTTTTTTTTAATTTCCTTTTCTTTTTTCTTTTTTTTTGAATTTTAAACCAACATTATATAAAATGAATTGATTAAGAGATATCACCAAAAATGAGAAATTGGTTTTGATGAAATATGGCTATATACATGAAACTATTGTAGGAAGACCATTGTACACAATGTAAACAAGTCACAAGCAACATCCACTCATATTAAAACCCCACAACAGAACAGCGCAATTCTCCATACCAAATATCACAACAAATTCACACTTCAGTATGGAGAGCTTCAAATAAGGGGAGGCAACACTGGTGAACAATGCACCTTATGGATATATGCCTGGATTGTATGGAGAAAAGGGTTGGGAGGTAGGATACAGTTGAATACACGGGCAGGGTCAGAATGTATAAAGCAGTTATGGGGAGTACAGGTTTGAGTTTAGATAGTGTTAAGTTACATTTCATATCATACTATATCTTTATCTAGATGTATATAACTTTATCTAGATGTATACAACTTTAGATAAATGAATATGTCTTTCTCTAAATTAGCATATCTTTATCTATATGTTTATATCTTTATCTATATGAATATGTCTTTATCTAGATGTTATATCTTTATCTAAATGTATATGTCTTTATCTACATTATATCTATATGCATATGTCTTTATCTAGATGTTTACATCTTTATCTAGATGTATATATCTTTATCTAGATGTATATATCTTTATCTAGATGTTTACATCTTTATCTAGATGTTTATATCTTTATCTAGATGTTTATATCTTTATCTAGATGTTTATATCTTTATCTAGATGTATATGTCTTTATCTAGATGTTTATATCTTTATCTAGATTATCATATCTAGATGCTTTTCTTTACATATTTCTTTACATAGTAAAACACATCTGTATTGATTATTTACATTTTACTATCAATGCTTATATTTAGCCTGTACATTTTATTTTATGTGGTTTTGAGGATAAGTCTTTCGCATAAGGTTATGGGAGAAAAGTAGAACAATGTTGCCTTGTGGACGATGGCTTGTTATTCACAATCACAAAATAGCACATCAACATGCCCAGCAAAATGGCTTTAAAATCGCACATCCATTCACAGACCTTTCATTTATATTATATTTATGTATCAATATTTTTCTCAATGTCATAACTGTTGGTATTAAACAGAAAAATATGGAAAGATTGTTATCATTAAGAATGAATGATGAAAGAAATGATTAAAAGACCAAAACCCTGTGATAAATGAAATGATTATACAGAGATATATTTCATGTCGTAAAAGTTTGTAATTATTTTCTTCAGATTTATCTAGGATACTGGTTATGGATTATGAAGTATTCCATCTGTACAGAAAAGTTATAAAGCAGATCTGCTCTGTTAAACTCATTACCTTTAATGAAGTTTAGATGAAACTGAGGTTAATGAACTTTCACTAGAATAGGCATTTTTAAGAACTTTGCGAGGTAAGTCATTAGTCTTTCCCTATCTGAATCATTATCCTATTTTTGGACAGTGATACCTATCTAAGCTGAAAGAGTTTTCTCCCTTTACAAGCTCTCCCCCTGTATGTCCTCTGTAAATTACCTCTGACAATGAGAATGTTTCCTGAACTTCATCCTTTGGTCCATCGTTCAGGGAGATTGAAAAAGAGACATCGTGATCTAACTCAGGAGTGATGTCAGCTGACTGACTTTCCTCCAGCGATGATTCCTCCGGAACAGTTTCTAAAACAGACACAGTTGCTCCCTGGAACTCTTCAATGTCTCCGTAGAATTCCTCTTCCTCAATGCCTTCGGACGAAATGTCACTTGGCAGGGAGACCTCACTATCAACTGACATCACAACGTTAAGTGGATGGTCATCATATGACTCATCAGATTCCTTTGGCTCCGATACCTCAATCTCATAAGACACTTCAGCGATGTCTTCATCATCGAGTCTATCCTCCTGAATCTCCGCCTCAAAGGAAAATTCAGCACTTTCTTTCACTACCTCGTCTTGTTCTTCCAACAAAACTTCTGTGCTCATATCAGGTTGTCTTTCCTCCAGCACCACTTCCTCCTTTCTGTCTTTAGGAGCTGAGATAGTAAACTCTTCTAAATAATCTTCATCCTCCGACTTCTTATCCATGTACATCTTAAAGACAGTGTTATCCCGAGGCTCTTCCTCAGCCTCATGGTGGACGTCAAAGTCACCATGTGGACGAGAGGGTTCATCCTCCTCCTCCTCTGTTTTCAGGGTGAAGACAGTCTCCTCTGCTGTCGATGTAACCGGCTGATTCTCTTCCTTGTCTTCTAATGTAGCCTCAAATGTCACATCATCTGGCTCAAGTATTTCCTGTCTTGACATGTACTGATCCTTTGAAACAATCTCAAATGAGGACATGAAAGGCTCATCTACAGGAACCATAGCTTCCTCAGCTGGGACACTCTCTGGATGTAGCTTCTCCTCAACAAACATTGTTGCATCATATGTCAAGTCCTTCACTTTTTCATCTTCTACCTCAGAGGTAGGATAGAAATTCAAGTCCTTCTTTTGTTGGGGGACTACATCAGGAACTGACACTTTATACTGTTCTGATTCAGACTCTGACTCAGAGCTGGGAGAAGAAACGACTACCTCCTCATCTGACAAATATTCGTCTGAACTGGAAATAGACACGTCATCGTCTCCAACTGGTCGGGATATTTTAATCTCTTCTTCTTCGTCCGATGAAGATTGAGGCAGGTCCAATTTCGGGATATCATCTTTGGTGACAAATGTGAATTCATCTGTTTCATCGACGTCCTTCTCAGGAGACCTCTCAGGGACATCCTCTTTCAGAATAAAAGTGAAGTCCTCATCTGGCGATTTGTCCTTAACTATCTGGCTATCAATACTGTAATCCGTGTGAAGTTTATACCCAGGCTCAGGTTCTTCTGATTCCTCGTCAGTATCAACTTTCGCCTCAAAGCTAAATTGTGGTACTGATTCTTCAGCTTCGTAGCATTCCTCGTCGTCCCCGACAACTTCAATTTCCTCCTTTAATAGAGTGGTTGTGGGTAAATCGTCCTGCTTATCCTCCGAACGGAGGTGCCATGTGAAAACTTTAGTGCCTACTTCATATTGAGTGTCAGGGGAGGCATGCGAAGACTGTGTAAACAGGAAGCAAAAGGACAAGCATTTACAAGCATGCTTTCTGATTAATAATGGGACAATCTCAAAGTCAAATCACTGTTTTTGACCAAATTATTTTTAAACATGAATATTTTTTTTCTGAAAATGTATACTTGAAAATTGCAATCTGCATCAATTTTTTCCAAATAATTTCATTACAATGAAATTTAGTCTTGAGCGATGAGAGAGTCCCATTTACATATTGGTGAGCATTTGGTATTGCAGTGAATCTTGATTTTCTTTGAAAAAAAAAAAGTGCATGAAAAAACATTGTTAGGACCTTCTCTCACCAATATCTAACATATATGACACCATCAGCTTTCAATTCCAGCACTTGCCTAATTATGTTGCTAATATTTAAAACACAAGATGCCCTCAGAACAGTACAAACCAATGTTTATATTTTTCTACGCTTCTCGTCCACTCGTTAATCACTCCATACTATCAAATATAACATCCCGTGTCAACATTATTACCATAGAAACAATCTAATCTTCAGTCCCCGATGTCTTAAGACAAATCATGCAGAAAAAAAAAAGAACAGCCAGCTTTGTATGTGTGTAACTGACAGATGCTAAAAAAGCTGACTTGTGAACCATACAAATACCTATTTATCAAATACTAGTATTCTATTCAAGTAAACCAATATATTTTATACATAAATCCAATCAAATTTTGTTTCTTACACCTCGGATGGAAATATACAATAAATATTCACCACAAAACCCCTGACGTAATGTAGAATGTTACGCAGCACCCATTCACTGAATTTGTTGGTTAGCAGTATACGATAAGATTAAGTGTTATATTTTTGTAACTGAAAGCTGAAAATGTCATATAAGATCTATACTGTCACCAAGAACAGAAACAGGAACCTCGGGCATACTGTCTCCCCAACAGCTAAGACATGCTTATATAATTATCATACAATACTAAAATATCTTCTCATCAATCTGATTCAGACACTTCAAATCTCTAAATTTTGTGTGGAAATCGAAAATTTAACAAAATTTAAAGCAAAAGACTTGCATCAGGTCCATAAGTTTAAGATAGAAAAATTTAGAATTGATTTTTGTATATTAGTCATCTAGTCATCTAGAACATTCCCAAAATTCAATATCACAAGATACTATTAACTTTAAGAGTGATTTTCATAATATTACAGAAAGTATGTCAGTTTCCATCATTTTTAAAATTGCTGAATCAGTTACACATACTCTGTAGAAAATATTGAAGTATTGCGTATCACTATCTCCATGCATATATCTTTAATCATAAAATCATCATACCAGCATGCTCAAATTACAAAATCATTAAACAGTATGAACTGATAAGTGATGTAAATAGAATCAAATTAAAAATGAAATAAAACAATTAAATCATCAATTTTTAGAAATGAAATCTCAAAATTTTTAGGTTCTAATATCGGGGATGAACAAATATAATAAAAAGATTTTAAAATGTGCAAAAATTTAAATCGTGGATTTTAGGTAAAATCTGCATTGTAACAAAACTAATCTACCTAATTTCCTTCATATCAGTAAAATAACTCAAAATCAGTATTTTTAAACTTTTCAAAAGCATTGTTAGTTAAAATAAACACATTGGATTGTTGTTTATTTGTTAGAAGAATTTCTGTATATAACACTACTTTGTTAGTATAGAAGCCGTGTTTGTTTTCTTGCACTTCAAAAGTTTTCATCATAGCTTCAATCACAGACATATCACGACTAAATCCAAGTGGATTCCAATAGGTTGTTGATACAATTTTTGTAGAAAAATATAATCATGTAGATATACAGTTGAAACATGTTGTCTCAGAATCACTTGAGTCGAAATTCTGTTTGAGTCAAAATTATAGTCCCGATAATTTTCCTGCTTTGTAATTTCAGTTCGGATGAGTTTCGATCTCTTTATTTGTAAAGCATATATATATATATGTCAAACAAGTAGTGCGTTTACACAAGACATGACCTTAACCTTGGTTGTGTGCATCTTAA